TTTTTTAAATACAATCAAATGTCTGGGATTTTGGTCAGCTCAGCTTTGAAGTTTTTCCCAGCTTGCCCTAGCAAGAAGCTGCTTGGGGCTGGGAGGAGAGTGATTGGAGGCATGGCGCCCATGCACATGGCATCCATGCACATGGCATGCAGCCAAGCAGTGGGGTGGGAAAAGCCCTGGCAGCTGCATGCAGGTAAGTCTATAAGAGGTGCTAGGGGACTGCTCAGGTGTGTGTGGAGGTTGCAGGGGAGGGGGGGGGAGGGGAGGGCAGGAGTGTGTGGAGGATATGGATCTGAATGGGGGTGCCTTCAAAGGCAGCAGGGAGCTGCCTGGCCAGACTGGCAGCACTGGGGCAAGTGCCCTTGTTCACAGGGCGGGTCAGTCTGGAGATGCTGCAGGGCTGGGGGGGGAGGGGGGCTGTGTTTTAGGAGTGAGAGGCACTGGGCGGGTAGGGGACTGTTGGGCAGGGGTGTGGGGCACTGGCAATGCCAGGGGGCTGTGGGTTGGGAGTAAGGAGCCAACATGGCCCAGGGGTGCAGGGTACCGCAGGTTGGGAGTAAGGGACACTGATAGATCCAGCAGTCTGCGGGTTGGGAGTGAGGGGCAGCAGCAAGGCTGGGAGAGGTTGTGGCTTGGGAGTGAAGGGCAATGGGATGGGAAGGGGCAGGGCATCGGCATATCTGCCCCCCACAATCATATGCTCCTTCCCCTCTGCACAGCAGGTGTCCTCTTTTCTGGAACTGGAAATGTGGTAACCTTACCTTAACTATCTCATAAGGAAAGCAGAGGAAAGTGTTATTTCTGGGTAATGGGCCTCATGGCTTTGCAAGGAAGAATGACTGAAAAGCTCTAATCACAGCATGATAAGTGGTTTTGGAAATACTGCATAACACCTAGAATTATTAAACCAATATTAAATATTGCCTCTCTGATTTGACTAGAGCACCAAGCCAGGAGCAGGGATCTAATTCCAACTCTGCCTGTAGATGCTTACAGCAAGTTACTTCATCTCTGCCTCATTCTCTCTATCACAAAATAGAGCACTGGTCTACACATTGAGTTATGCTAGTTTAATTTAATGATTTATTTTGAAGTAGTTTAACTTGGTGCATATGATACGTGCATATTTAATTTCAATTCAAACCAGCTTCACTGCAGTTTACTTTAAAACAATTAGGAAATATAATTGGTAAGGTAAACTGAAATAAGCTGCTCTTAAAGTGAAAAAGAGGAGTGTATACACAACATTTTGCCCTGCTTTAAGGGCTTTTCTATAGGTGTTTTATACAGCCATGAGTCACACCCATATGAGCACACTTATACAAGTACAGTTTATTCCCATAAATTGAGGGAAATAAACTACAGAAGCATATGGCAACCGTATCATTATAACTGCATCAATACCAGCGGTTGTACTGATCTAAACTGTTCAGTAATTAATCACACCCCCAACTTAAATACAAAGACTATGAAGACCAGGCCTAAACCTTCATAATTAAGCCACTAAACAAACTATCAGGCATACTGTGAGGGTTACCATATTTACTTGTGTATAACATGCACCCCCCTCTCCCAATTAACTGCTTCAAATGAGGGGGGGGAGGGGAGGGAGGGGGTGTCTTAAATGAGGAAATGTGGGGAGCAGAGGGCTTGATCCTGTGGAAGCCAAACTGCCCATCAAGCTGAGTGGGCAGCCAAGTCGCCCCTGCTTAGTCAGCTGAAGGCCAATCCTACTGGAACTGAACTGCCTGGCACCTTAAACTTGGGTGGGCCCTCAGCTAACTCTGCATGTGCTGCTGGCTGAGCTGAATTACCCGGCCCCTTCTCTTCGGGAGCCAGGTGGGCATCCAACAGCACTTGCTGCATCTGGCAGGTGCCAGTTAGTTTCAATAAACAGAGTTTATAGAGAAGATGAAGGTCTTTGCCTGGTACACACATGTGCATGTGCGCGCGCGCGCGCACACACACACACACACACACAAGCCGCCTTTCTCTTCCCTGAGAAACTACTGTACCTACCAGTATTTCCAAGGAAAAAATCTTTTTTCTTCATTCCACCATTTTAACACAAGGCATGTGTTTTATTCAAGGGCATGTAGTATGCAAGAAAATACTTTGTTGTTTATAAAGCACTTTGCCAAGGTAAAATACCACTCAAATGCTAAGAATTTATTATTCATGTTGTCAGAAGTCAGATTATACTTGGGTGCTTCCACAGTATATAAAAGCAAAGGACAAGAGAGCATGACAACTCTCAAGGATTTAGGCAGCAGCATTCCCTAACAGATTGCAGGGATGCTCCAGCCACCTGCTCTATGAAGTACAATACTCACCAAAGTACCTAGGAATGGGGAGGATGCAGAGTCAGCAGTGTGGACAAGGTACAATGAGAGCTTTTTGCTACAGCTTGTCAAACAGAGCATCCACATCAAACCTTCCCTGTGGAGTAAGTTGTCCTCGGGCTAGGGAGATTTTTTCCTTAGAGATTTCAGGATCATGCCAGAATACATCTGCACCTGTGCTATAATGAAAAGTCACAACTGAGCCCTATCTTTTCATTATCGCTGCTCCTAACGTCTGTTTGGAATACATCCTAGTACCTTGAGATCTAGCAAGTCAGGCTGACCAGATAAGAGTGAATGGATTTAAATAAAAATAGCTTCTGAGGAGCAAATCAAATCGACTGCAGTTCATCTCATAAACGCTGTATGTGTTCAGCACAATTTAATGACTGGAAGTCTGAGCATAAAATATTCCATTTAAGAATAATAACCACGTGTGGTAAGCATGAAGGCACAGAGCCCAGATTTAATTAATGTAGTTTTGTATTTTGAAAAGCAATATTAAAAAACACTTGAAAATGCAAGATAACTGTAACAGGTGCGTCTACAAGTTTTAACCTTATATTGCTTGGCCATTTTGACATAAATTATTGCTTACTAGCTCTTATAAATACACAGCACAGTAATATGTACAAAGGCAGACAAGCATGAAACATGAAAAGGAAAACGTTGGCAACAGTGATTCTAGTAAATCAGACTATTTCATACATACCAGTTCTCATAACGGTGGATAACTACTAGCTGTAGTCCCTGAGAAGTTAGGTAAATACCTTGATTTGGGGTTTTCTATTTTATTATTTTAAATGCAAGCTGACAGCATTATGGCACACCTGTTAAAGAGAATATAACAAGCAGGTGGTCTTACTTCATCCCACTGACTTCATCCCAGTATTTCTTAACAGTATAATAAGAATACAATAAATAGGCTATGCAAATAAATATTACTCTGCTAAAATGTTTAGTATTTACATCTTTCTTTGCAATTTTACAGCAGGACATTTTTAGTCTGTTTTTGGCAAGAGATCCTTCGTTTCTTTTTTTCCAACGGTACCTAGACACAATCAATTACTATGTGAAATTGGGCTGAAAGCCTAAGGACATGTTACAGAAGCATCTAAAGTCTATGAAGCAAAAGCCCACTTCAAAGAGTTGTAGAATGAGCCCACGTGTTCCCTGTTTTGTCTAATATCTTCTCCCAACATACAAGAAACACACACACATAATTTAATCTTGTCTGTGTAGTTGTATTAGACTGAGCTTGGAGATTTACAGTATTTTTTTGGAATATCATAACAACGCTACTGTTTTGTGGGGAATGTGTAGTGATTAAGAAGTGTGCTCTGCCCATACCTAGGGATGTGGGAGAAGCTACACACCACCCCCCTTTCCTTTCATCCTGCTGCATTTTAGTTCTCCTCCTAATCATCTTGCCTTCATGTGCATGTCTCAGGTCAGGTCCACAACATTTTAGCCATGGAACAAGGATTCTAACAAACCTTTATTTTCTGGATAGTTCTGTTGCTGATTCAGAGCAGTTTCCCTTTTATCAGTACTATAGTTCCAAGATTAATATTCTAAGCACAGAAGCAAACCTTGCCCTTCAGAACTGAAGATATATTTAGATAATAAAGGCCATCATAAAAAACAATTTGCATCGTTTCATTGCACTTTTCAGCATTTCAAACAATTATACCTAACATTACAATGTTTGGAACTTGGTGCTTAGATGACAGATTTTTTCACCTGCAAACATGAATGCCAGGTGTAAAGAGCAGGAACTTTTTTTTTGTACTGCTGTAGTTGCACCAGCAGGGAAGGAGCATAAGCTATTAAGGTTATTATAAATTAGCAGATGAGAAGCTGAAAAGAATTGAGACTCAGGCCCAATTCTCCTCCATTACTCACAGAGAGCACTACATCCTGTGAACAAGGGCCCACAATCTGATCTACATACTGATTTGTGAAAGCAGTGCCATGATGAAAAGATTTCACAAGAGGGGGCTAAAGAATTAACTAATGTCTTGGTTAATGAATCTTGGGTGGGGATTCAGTGAAAATCTGAGAAAGGAAAAATTTTAAAAATCCCCAAGAAATTAACATCATATGGGGTTTATGTTTTACACCACAAAAATGAGTCCACTAAATTTAGTGTCCTAACTTGAACAGTTTTGGTCTGTTTGCACAGAAAAAAATATTTACAGTATGTGCAATCACATCTACAGAAGAACATAGGAAATTTTTACTCCATGGCCAGCAAGAGTTTTTTTTTTCTTTTTACTGGGTAAAAAGAACTATTAAAAAAAATCATATAGTATTTGATAATACCAAAGTACAAGCAAATACATTGTGAAACATCTGTTTCTTTTATACAGTAACTGTACAATATTTCACATATGGAGGCAAACTGAATGCATTCAATGACGTCCCCTTCAAATTACTTGTTAAAGCTGCTTTTTCTGTCCCCTTTAAACCACAGATAAAAAGATGATGAAGAACACGCAACTTTACCCACTTTAGCGGACCCACATTACAACAAAGGATCATTTTCCTGGAAGTCTTTCTGATGTGAAAAACAGACAATATAGACAGACAGGCAAGCAGTGTACCCTCACTGCCACTGCAAAGGGACTTTTTGAAGTAAGGTTCTCTACAAACAGATTTTACTTATATAGTGAAGAATATTCCACTGTCTATAGTTTATTTAAGCTTATTTGAGGGCAACTTCTTAGTACTGAAAAACAGCATTATCATCATAGCAGCAGGACATTGACCCCTGTGGTCACCTGATTTACCTGTGGCAGGTTAGGGTGTTATGCCTTGTGTTGTGTTTGTATAGGATGGTTTACTAAGGCAGGGGGCTGGACTACATGATCTGTAGAGTTCCTTTGCAGCCCTACTCTTCTATGATTCTATGAGGAGGCAACTCAGACAAGAATAAATATGAATGTGATTTTAAAGCACGTACTAAGATAACAAATAGCTCTTTGATTTATCTAAATGAAAACTGGGTTTGGACGAAATATAAAATAGGAAGACACTTTCCCTTTAATTTTTTCTATGTATTGGGAATGAGAGTGTGTAATACATGAAGTATGGCCTTTTGTTCTTTCAAAGCTAAAAGCATCTGCTTGGTAAGTCAGATTTTTACATGTTAAAATAGGCTATTTTCTGTTTTATAGTGTTTTTGTAGAAAGTAGATGGACTTACTAGATGTCTCCCAGTAGATGTACAGGAGACAATATTTCAAGCAGTAAAGCACTGAGCTCTGTTGTAATAACCTACTGCACACTAACTGCAGAAATAAGTAACAATTCTGGGATAATTAGAAGGGGAGCAAATAGAGATTTTTCTCCCTAACCTACGTATTTTAGACATAGGACACCTGCTAAAACGTTGAGTTGAGGTCAACTGCTATTTATCCCTCAAAAAAGGAAATGCCACATTTGTTTCCATAAACTGCATCAAGATTAGATTTTTTTCTTTACTATATGCTGTGAAGTGAATTCTTAAGAGGAAGTAACGTTATGGGCTGCTGTTTGCTTTTGACCTCCAAATCAGGACACACAAGAGAGCTAATAATGGTGCATTGTTTTATACATGTTCGTTTTTATATTCCCATTCTGAAATGTTAGCTGTTGTCTCAAATAAAATGCTCCCAGGGAAGTTACATGGATTGCACAGTATTTTTTGGCAACAGTCAATACTTTGGCAGCTTTGGATTAGTGAGGTACATTCTCTATAACTTGCAACCCTCCATCACATGAAGTTGCTTGCTGAAATGTTTTGTTACAGTAATGTGATGCTTCCTTTCATCCTAATACTGTCAGAATCTGGATTGAAAGCTACACTGGACCAACAATATTTTCACAGAAATCAAGTCGTTGAGCTCAATGGATGCTGCTCATCACCTTCCTGATCTGATGATAGATGGAAACAGCACTACCCTTGCCCTGGAATGCTGCAAACAACTTATTTTCTTGTTCTGCTTGATTTTCCTGTGTATATTGTGTGAGCTACTGATAAAACTCAGTAAACTGTTCTTATATAGGGAAGCAACATGTTTGGCTTAAACATTCACTTAATTCAAAGTGCTGCAGTTACAAGGTTACATGAAGCTGTGCATGTTCACACCCGAGGCTCTATCCTGTGAGAAAGCTCGAACAGTGTTTGCTGGTTGTCAATGACACGCAGGTGATGGACATATGGCTTCAGCTCTTGATGCTCTTTAGGAGGAACTTCATTGCCTACAATTTGAGAAGGAAAAAAGGAAATACCTCAGAGATCATTTTTCTGACTCCTTCTTGCTTTGCATTATCATAAAGGCTGAGCCAAGGTCATGGGCTATCTCCATACATCTGCCCCCATTGTGCTAGGTGCTGCACAAATACAGAACAAAAAGCAGCTCAGTGACCAAAAGGACTTACAATTTAAGCTCCAGATATGAGATGGGGTTCTGATAGCAGGGAGTATGAGGAAATAACATGAATTTGCTGATTAGCAGAATAGGCAGTGGTTTAAGCATGCCAGCAGCCTAACTACTGTCAAGTTTTTTTCTGGTCAGACTTCATGGTGAGAGAGTGTTTAAGGAGAAGTATGAATGAGAACAATGGTTTTGCAAATGTTTATGGCACCTGCTCCCCAGTGTGAGGGGCAGAATAGGAGAAAGAATGCTGGTGCTTGTTCAAAAATGTAAAGATTGGGTAATGGACCCTGGCAACCTGGGCTGATAGCAGGCACCCAGGGCTCAAAACTATTTCATTTTACTGCCTAAATGGCACATATGTTACCACAGTTTCTTGCCACTTGCACACAAGTTTGCAATTCAGCTCTGGATCCCCAAGTATGCACACATCCACTGAGCAAATTGTGTATTGTCAGTGGGCTATGCTTTGGCCAGGCAGGTACACAGTACAAAAAAATAACCCAGTTACATCCATAAAGGTAGGTAAGTCCCAAATTATAGTCACAGAAAAACCATAACTAGCAGGTGTGAGGAAGAGAGGGGGAGCCCTTCTCTATTTTAGCCCAGTACCTTTGTGGCTTGGGTATTTGCCCATGAAGCGAGATACCCAGGTTCCTGGCCCCCAGTAACAAAAAGGGGTACTGAGCCCATTCCCTAGCACAGTGCTTCACAACCACTAGGCCAGAGGCTAGACATGATACAGGTTCTTTCTTAGCCCTCCTCTTGAAACTTGAATCTTAGGCAGTGAAGAGAGGGAGGTTAGAGAAGTGTGCTTAGAGAAGTTGAAGAATCTCCTTCCTGGGAAACTTTCAAGAGCAGGATAGACACTTGAGCAGGGGGCTGGACTAGATCACTAGATGGTATCATAAGGTCCCTTCCACCCCTACCTTCCTATGATCCTAAGCTACAAGGTGATTAGCTCAGTGAGATGGTTGCTGTCTTACATGGGATGGACCCAGGGTTCTGGGCTGGGCCCCTACTCTCAAAAACATCTCCATTTCTGCAATAGGTGAGTGTAGTGGGTTGCTGCCTCAGGGCCTCTTCAATAAGGCTTTTGGTCCCTGAGGTCTCTCCACAAGCCCCAGTAATAAGCAGTCTTTTAACAAATAAAAGAAGTAAACCTAAAGCCCCCTTATTGTCTTGGACACTGAGAGGGGTCCTGTGTGGCTTCAGCCTTTCCAGAGCAGGCTTGCCCTCCAGCTAGCCCAGAAGTCTCCCATCCTGGTGCCTGACACCAGTCCCTTTGGTTTTTCTTGCTGAGGTTTGTGACTCCTAGTGAGCCTCTCCTCCATTAGCCTTCACACAGCTGCAGCCTGTCAGTCAGGCTGGCTGTCTCCCTGCAAGAGGAGGGCTGGGAGAGACTGGGCAATGCTTAATGTTTTGCAGGGAAGTGGGCTCAAATCCCTTCTGGATGAGGGGGATTTAGAACCCAGGTCTCCCACTCCCTAGGCAAGTGCCTTAACTAATAGGCTACTGGTACAAAACACAGAAGAGCTTATTCCCTTTTACTCCTCCTCACCTTGGGTAGAGCAAACAGAATCCCAGATTATGCACAGGTGTCAAAAACTGCAGTTATGTTGCTGTGTATGTGCCATTTAGATATGGAAAGTGAAATAGGATTTTGCTGTTAGTTTACACAGTTGATTTTTCCAGAGATTAGCAGAACTGAGATCAAATTTTGGCAGAATTCCACAAGAACAAGGTCAGTGTAGATGCCCAGGGAAGATCCTTATCCTGCAAGCAACGTAGAATAGAAGGGGACTGAAAAACCCAGGGCCTATGAGACTCTGAAATGGTCCCTGGCTTCGGCCCCTTTTATGACTCCTACTCTGACATGCTGCCAATACCAAAGGGGAAAGTGGGTGGCTAGATTTATAGCAGCAAAGGACCTCATACTAAGACTATGTCAAACACATCCTTTTATGCAGAGCTGGCATTAGAGCTGCCATTAGCTACCTTAGCTCTGCCTGTGGGAGACTGGCAGAGCTAAGGTAAGGATCCATCCCTTTTCCCACTCATATGTTTGATGAACTTTATAAACTTAACTTAGACTAGGATTGTAGGCAAGTGCCTGGTGGCTCATCCCTGAAACTGGGTCTGCTTTCAAATAAGCTTGTGGAAGTCCCCTTTGTTCTGTCCTGTCACAGCACATAAGGTCCTTGAGGGAACCCTTCTGGACCACAGCCTTTAAACAAACATAACACAAATACATCAGAGCACATGGACCCTGAGCCATTTCTCTTAGATCAGGTGAAACGTGTCAGCATGGAATAGATAAGAGGACCACTCTTCAAAGCTGCTCTGTCAGGCCTCCAGTTTTGATCTCAGCTATGCTTTTGATTCCTGCTAAGGTGATGGAGATGAGAGATGTGCTGTTATTTCCTGAGAGTTCTCATGAGAGGAGAGCTTTAAATAAGCATCAGAGGAAACTGAAGCATGGCCTGAATAGCAAATGAAGGTGGTGTCTACTACAAACACTAGTCCAGGCCCTCAAGAAAATGTTTACAAAAGTACTGTTAAACACACACACCCCAATAAGCCTAACTTCATTGCTCTTCCACAGACAGTGTTTTACTTCAATCACATCCCTCATCTATACATTCTCCATTTAGTTTGTCAGCTGTTCAGGGTGCTGATACTGTCCTCCTATTTGTAAAATATCTAGTACAAATTTAGTGCTATGGAAATAGTAACATGGCAGTGTGAGCATGGCTAGTTCTGCATGCCACTACTACAGGCATTGGAGTGCAGCACCTGTCCACACACTCTTTTTAAGTACCTGGATGATTTGTGAAGTACTTAAAAAGAAATAAGAGATAATTGGTGTAGTAATACACAAGAGACCTTACAGTTCTTGGGGAACAGATTCCACCTTCTCAGCAAGTGTGCTGAACACACTGAAAATTATTCAGAATTCAGAGTGTCATTAGCACCTTAAATTGTAAAAGGCTGAATAACTGTATAAGTGTTCAAGCTGCTATGGCAGATTTCTGAAAGACTATTATTTGTTTTCCAGATTTAGTGTAGAAAATATTATTACCATTAAAATGGCATTTCAGTATTTCTTGGCAGCATCATCATCTTCTAAACCATAAAGATTTTGGCCGGCTTGCTTAATTTGTAAAGCATAGCTTATAAACAATAACAATGTCCCTTGCTTAGTTTTATCTGAACTCTTTTCTGTGGTAGGATGCCTGCTGCTCTTAGTCCAATTTATGGGACGATGCAGTAGAAAAATTCACATTTGTGAAAGCTAAATAAACCCATAGGAAAAGGAAGCTATCCATAAAGACTCAATAAATATTCAGTGAATTCATTTAATGCCTAAATGAATTTAACAAAAAAACTCAAGTGCCTACAGGGATATGTGCATAAGCTGTTTTTTAAATGCCAGCCTCACAAAAAGGCCAAGCCTGTGGTAAAATAACATAATAATGACATACTTCAAACTACCAGATTGTGTGATAAATCTTGGGTATTAAACCTGGATTTATGTTGCAACACAAATTGCCATTTGCAAAACTGCAAAAGCGGTTTAAAAAATGTCATTTATTTGCAGATGTTCTATTTAAAAACAAACAAACAAAAAAAACCACAGGGAAACTTGAAATAACAGAAATATTCAGGTTCACAGATAAATATTTTTGTTCAATAAGTTATTTCTGCAGAGTCTGAATGAACAGAGTTAAAATAAGAGATGGACATAACTATTTGCCCTTCTCTTTGTGCAAAGGGAAGTAACTGGATCATAACTAATACACAGACCAGCTGCATCAAGACAAGCATGGCCATGTGGTATGTGGTGCTACAGACACGTCTGTGGTGCCACGTACCACACATTGAGCTGTTTTCTGTGCTGCAGGGGAGCAGCACAGGGGTTTTTGGATATCCTGGGGTCAAAAAACCCATGCAAACCCCCCCCCAAAAAACAAAAAGCGGAGCAGTGTACACAGGGGCAGCATGCACCACTCAAAACTGGAGCCTGGCCAGGTAGAGCCATGATCTGGCTGCTGGCCAGGCTCCAAGTGGCTGGATTGCTGTTATTGCAGCCACAGAAGCCCCTCCAGGAGCCCAGGTAAGGCTGCTGGCTCCTGCTCAGTGCTGGCCCCGGCCTCCCCTACCCCACCTAAAGTAACCTGCCACATGCCAGAGTGCGTTCCCCAGGGACAACTAGTGTTGGCACAAGGTGTCCTGCTGCTAGTTGTCCTTGGGGAACCAAACATCCACGCTCATTTGGACGTGGCCACCTTGTATAAATAGACGACACCCTGCAACCGGCAATATTTTGGGCCAAATGTTTACAAGCTTTCCTAACTGTAACTTCGGTATTTGTGCACACATTGTTTTGCACACTAAAATGTGCCAATATAAGTTTGACAGAAGAGCCACTGCACTACAAACAACCCCATCTTAAATGGCTCAGAAGGCATAAGAAGCTGTGGGATATCTCCAGTGACCTTCTGGTTTTATCTTCTTGGCTGGGCCTACAATGCTCTGGTCTTATGAAGCAGTGTGGATAGGTGAATATGTGTGTTAGAGATCATGGGAACACACCATTCTGTGACAATTTGGGTTCTTCTGTAGTCTGTAAAGTAAAATTTGAATTTCACCAGTTGTTGTTGCACTTAGAATCCTAAGTTGACTCTTCCAGGGTAACATCCGCTTCTTTGGTTAAAACAACTGGAAAATATGATTAACTTTGAAGTAAACCTGAGTCAGGAGAGGGAAACAGATGATAAACCTGGCAATAAACCTTTTGATATCGCTGAATATTTTATATGCCCAGAAGTGTAACTAAGGAGAGAAACTGTCTACTCACCAAATTGGTTATTCCTGCAATGTCTCAGTGATCGAACAGTATCCGCAATCATGTGCTGTAGTGATAAAATACACAAAATATCAGTGAAAAAAATTCTGCTTGGGATGCTGTTGCTATAAAACACTTCTCTAGCCCCATGCTACTGAACAGCAATAGCAGCAACACTGGAAAACATGGGCAGCAAAGCTTCAACAGGGGAGGTTTCTTTTTCTTTTTTCTCCCTTCCCATTTTTTTTGGTTCCATATTAACATACAGTTAAACAAAGTTATCTCTCTCAGGTTCCTTTCACAGAAGGATCTTGTTAACATCACACAGATTAAATGAGAGGGACTTCCTAGGCATCTATGGAAACTTGCCTGAAAAAACAGACATTTAATTATTTCTCTATTTCTCTTTCTTTTCAAAGAGAAACTGGAAATCCCTTCCTTTTCCCCCTTATGCATAGGATAGTAGTTTGTGTTCAAGTATATTATTTGAGTAGTAGGCTTAAAACTGCTGCACAGCAAATAGACTTGTGACAGAGATACAAGATGTAATTTCTCTGATAAGGATTTATGCAGGTTTAATCACTTATAAATTGGTGAAGATGTTTCCCTTTTCAACCAAAAATTGATGCAGCCTGCAATGAAAGCATTAAGATCCATATGAGCCTATCAATTCTGAGTAGTAGGGACTAATATTTAGAGGGTTAGAGTCAGCTATAGCTCCACTTGAAGTTAAAGGGCCCTCTACCCCTTTAAAATGGCTGTGGAAGTCTTCAGTACCCAAAATACTTGTGGGTCCACTGGATACAAAGGTGATACATCTTTCTGACACTACAACATCTATACACTACAATATATTAATCACACACTAAGTAGTACACTTAATAATAAGTTAATGACAGAACTTCTGCGTATCCATTAAATTAGTTCCTATAGATGAGAGAATGCCAAGGAAGAAAGCTCGGCTGTGGGTGTATTATTAAGAAAGCCTGGCATTAAATGAAGGATTTGTTTTTAACTCTCCGTGATGAATACATGTAAATTGATTAATATATTTTACAAGGAAGTTATGAAATGGCGGCTAGCACAAGTAGCCTTTAATGTGCTAATCAGTCATTTGCCTGAACAATCCAGAATATGAGTCAGTCCAGGTTAATATATTTGAACACCAAGTTACACTTAAGAAAAATCTGTATTAGAAGAGTTGATCATGTGTCTCATGTGGTTTAGATTTTAATTTATTTTTTCATCCTACTGCCATTCCCTACTAGGGGGAAAAAGAACTGAAACTTAAAAAAAAAAAAAAAAAAAAAAAAAGAATCCCTGAAAAAAAAAAAAAAAAAGCCTATGTTCAGGAGGCCACTGGAAGCTTGACTCTTGATCCTAGCAAAGGTATTAATAAATGCTTACTGTAGTTCCTTAAGACTTGCAAGGTATTTGCCTTCAGACTTCATTTCAATTTGATGGTAAAGCTAGAAATATCTCTTAACTTGGACTCATTCTCTAGATATCTCATAGGTGAATAAAATGTAGATGGCTGCATTCAAGGTTATGAGTTCTACCAAGCCAAATCAGTATTATGCAGGTTTATGTGCCTCCCGGCAGGTGTTTATATTCAAATTGGTGCAGCAAGAAGAGGGACTTAAAATACATTATCGATAGCAAATTAAGTTTTATGGGTTTTAATAAGAGATAAGTTAAGGTTTAATTAAAAAAATAAAAACAAACTGCATCTGTCTTGTGTTAATGTCCTAAAAAATTCCAAGAAAGACTAAGTTAGATGCTCATCATGCGTAAACTGACATAGCTCCATGGAAGTCAATGTAGCTTTGCCAAGTCATACCAGCTGAGAATCTTCCCCTGAGTCTATATGTAGCATTAATTTTGCCTTACAACTTAAAATGTAATGCTGTAAAAGCATTTCACAAACTGAGTCTATCATTGAATCATAGAAAATGAGGGTTGGAAGGGACTGCAGGAGTTCATCTAGGCCTATCCGCCTCCTCAAAGCAAGACCCTCTCCAACTAGATCATCCCAGCCAAGGCTTTGTCTAGCCGGGTCTTCAAAACCTCCAAGGATGGAGATTCCACAATCACCCTGGGTAACCCATTCCAGTGCCTTACTACCCTCCTAGTGAGAAAGGTTTTCCTAATATCTAACCTAAACTTCCCTTGCTGCAACTTGAGACCACTGCTCCTTGTTCTGCCATCTGCCACCACTGAGAAGTCTAGCTCCATCCTCTTTGGAAGCCCCTTCAGGCAGTTGAAGGCTGTTGTTAAATCCCTCCTCAGTCTTCTCTTCTCCAGACTAAATAAGCCCAGTTCCCTCAGCCTCTCTTCATATGTCATGTGTCCCAGCGCCTAACCATTTTCGTTGCCCCCTGCTAGACTCTAATTTGTCTACATCCTTTCTATAGCGTTGGGCCCCAAAACTAGACGCAGACTCCAGATGTGGCCTCACCAGTGCCAAACAGAGGGGAATTACTTTCCTTGAGCTGCTGGCAATGCTCCTATTAATGCAGCCCAGTATGATGTTTGCTTTCTTCACAACAAGGGCACCCTATTGGCTCATATTCAACTTATTGTCTACTGCAATCCCCAGGTCCTTTTGTGCAGACCTGCTGCTTAGCCAGTCAGTCCCCAGCCTGTACCGGTGCATGAGATTATTCTGTTTTAAGTGCAGGCCTTTGCACTTCTCCTTACTGAGCCTTATGAGATTTCTTTTAATCCAATCCTCCAATTTGCTGAGGTGTCTCTGAATTCTAGTCCTACTCTCCAGTATATCTGCTACTCTACCCAGCTTGGTGTCATCTGCAAACTTGTGGAGGGGGCATTTCATCCCGGTTTACAGGTTGTTGATGACACTATATAAAGTTTTAATTTGAATGGGTGCTAATTTTCTGAGGTTTATGTAGGCTATAGAGCTCAAATTAAAGCCACAAAAAAACTTTTAAAGTTGGTTTCACATTCAGGAGAAGATTCACACATAGTATATTGAATTGAGATAGTTCCATGTGAGTCATTGAACCTATGCTTATTTTCACCAGTGGAGAATCTGTCCCAAAGAGCTTTTAATGCAGTTTTTCTTGTACTTGATCACACTTAGAACCCAAAGGAAGAACATACTGAATTAGGCCAGCAGCTCTTTACTGAATATGCATAATTTAAATAACCAGCCTGCAATTAACAGTAATATGCAGCCTATGGAAACAGTACATTCTGTTCTCTCACCTCCCTCAAAAACCAAGAGGAAAAGATTAGTTGCCTAGAGAAGGGTAAGTTTAAGACTAGAATAATGTAGCATATTCATCTTTTCAAAATCACATTAAGAGTGATTAAAATGTTCCTTCAGAAAATATATTTTCATGAGAACAGCATATGCTTGTGTTCCTTTAACATATCAGTGATATAATATCACTCTTCCTGTTACCAACAGGAAGCTCGCTTGATTTCTTTGTTCCACTTTATGTTCCATTTTGATGGAGTAGAACATAATCACAATTCTCCCCTCTTTTGTGGCTTTCACATTGTTCTTCTCTGACTCTGCCTGACTCAACTATAATACTGAACACCTGCTAATTGCTCTACAAAAAAAAGCTATTTGCTAACCATTTAACAAGTGTTTGCATAACATTATTGTGATGGATATGGAGGACATAAATCATTCACACTCAACTGGTTCTTAGAAACGGCAAACATTCTTAACAGATGATTATTAGCGCTAGTTCCGTAGTTTTTCCCAGTCCAATTCATAAGTATACTCAGGGGAAAATTTGGGGGCACAGTCCAGCAAGTCCTTCCTTATATATGTAGTTCTTACTATTAGGACCCAATGGGAAAGAATGGGACCTTAAAGTAGCAGTAGACATGTGTCAGCCACCACTGCTAAAGGAGACATACAAAAATAGGTCACGGCTGATGAAGAGAAATACTGTACGAACCTATCTTTTTACCAATTACTTCAATAAATATAACGTGAAGATGATTTAAAATACAACAGTAAAATTTATGTAAGATTTTCATCCATTTATTCCCATTTTGCCATTCTCACTTTAAAGCAATAATGATGGACATAGATTAATCTGTAAAACTGTCATCTAGACCCTAAAAGATATAACATTAAATATAAGGAGCAATCCACCTAGCTTTTCCTACATCTGGTCTGTGATGCCATTAAACTCGCACCTAACATAACAGCACAAAGCTTTTCTTCTCTTAGTGATTTTTTTTTCATAACAAAAACCTCCAAAACTTATTTAAAATTGGACCTAATGAAAATCTGAATTCCATAGCAAAGATGTTTTATACAACATAAATTTCTGCAAATTAAGGATTTGGGACTCATACTTTTTGCAACAGCAGTTTCACTCTAGTTTGCACAAACTATTTAAAGATAAGGATTAGTAGCCTAATTCTGCAACAATTAAAGTCAATGAGCATCTTATTTATTCTTCAAGAGTGAAGTAAGTTTACAGAATAAAGAGGAACATAACACAAGTGGTCAGTGAGATGTTTGCCAGACTTTTTTCTGGTTTCATGTCCACAAATTAAATGCTTCCACATCCGTATAAACCAGAACTCCCCTTACACTGGCTAGGTCTGCACTGCACTTTTACAACAAGTTCCTGCTCTTTACTTTAGGTAGGAATAGTCAAGTGTACAGGACTCTGGGCAACCACTAAAGTTGCAACCACACCATTTCATTTTTCTCAAAGCAGATCTGGATGAAATGCTGGATAAAATACTGTTGACTGCAAATACTAGTTTTTCCCTGTCATCTACATATACTAGGACATCTCCACTGGTGGTAGAGACTCCACTGGTGAAACTGTATTGGTGAAGCAGTCCTAGGGGCTTTACAAAGCATGCCTGGTATAGACAAGGCCTTCCTCTGATTACAAAAACTGAAAGGCCTGATTAAGACTGGTCAGTATTCAGTAAAATTATATACAGACTTGGAACGATCTTTAGTAACAATTAAAAGTACATCCGAGGCTAGTTCAATTTACATATTAATGAGAAATAATTCCAAGAGGCAATAAAGAAGAACATGCTAATGAGTTTTATGCAAACGTGTAAAGGTCAAACTGTTAATGGACTTGGGATAAGAAAAACCCTTTATTAAATGCAAATCGGCATAAAAGCAGCAACAAGAACAAGTAGAAGAATCTAATAGAAGACTTAAAAAGGCCATCACAGAGGTTATGAAGTCAAAGTTAGGGCTTGTCTACACTTGAAAGTTAATGTGAATTAAGATAGGATATGAATTTAAAGCATAATAGGTGGTTCTTGGATAATATATGTGGATACTATTATTCTGGAAAAGGAGTGTCCATATAAGGCATTAATCAGGAAGAAAGAATTAAACTTATATCTGTTTACAAGGTCTAACTTTGGATTCAAAAGGAGAAAACTGAATTGTTCTACTGCTTTATACAAAAATATGCAGTGAACAGGTTAAACAATCATTACCACATCAAGTAAAAGACTAAAGCAGGTAGCAAGATCTTTTATCAACTTTCAACAAACATCATGCACACCGGAAATAAGAAAAAGTCTGATGTCTTGCTAATAGGGATGACTTTCCAATACGTAAGGGGGTTTTTTTGATCATGCTTAATCACATAATAAATATCCTTATCTACATAACAAAGCCCTGCTGGCAGAGCTACAATGGCTAAAGGTGTGAAAACAATCAAAACATCACATCTGTGCAACTCTTCCAGAAAAATGCCTGTTGGGGACACAGTTATGCTGACAAAAAGGCTATTTTTTGCTGAAGGGCATCTGCCCTTCAGGGCACAAGTGTAACTCTGGTGGTAGAAAAGGTTCCTGTCATGACCCAAAAGGCATGCTTGTGTGTGTGTGCTTCGGCATCAGAATTATCCACGTTAAGTTGCAGAGCATTGCACGGGAGTTTCCTGTAGCAAGAGGAAACCCCTGTGCAGGGACCAGTTTCCCACCTTTTCTGCAGCTTCTTTTGCAGAGTGCATTGCTCGAGTTGCAAGAGGAATGCACGGTGCAAAAGAGTTCCCGCCACCGGTATGCAAATTTGTTCCCCGTGATTGGCTAGTGCTAAATTATTCACACGTGGCGGCTAGCGATTGGCCTGTTAGCTGTATAAGAGGCTTGAGCAGTTTCCGCCC